CTATTTTTAAAGATTAATATATTTGGAAAACGAAAACTGAAGCAGAATCACGTTATTTCCCTTTTCGTAAAGATTTTACTCTTAAAATATCAATTTAATAATTGTACGAAACTAACAGCAATTACTTATAATCTATTTAAGATACATTATCAACCGTAGACATATAAAGCAGAATTTACTACTTATTATAATAAATTTTGAAATGAATCTTGTGATAATGGCTTTTAAATATTCATTAATTTACCCTTGCGGTAGAGTTTACTCGTGTAAGTAACCTGTTCTCTCAGAATAGACAAGCATTTACATACATAAAGCTAATTTACAATGTACATGTAAAGTTATCTTAAAACCGTATCGCATTTAAAATAGATTTGTAATGTACAATCGTTAACAAAGATATATATTTATTAATTTTAGAAATATTTACAAAACAATTTAATTTATTTAACAAACTTTTGCTGCTTACATCGTATCTGTAAGGTTTTTAATGTAAGAAGTTTATTTCAAAGCATAGGAATAATGTTTTTGCGGTGTTAATTTTTAAACTGTAATAATGAATTTTCAGTAGGTAATTATTTTCTTAGTAAAAGCTTATACAAAACATGTATTTCTTAAAATAATTCATAAAATATTTGACGCTATCGAAATTATAGTCTGTAATGAAATAAGTGAATTCAAATCGTTATATGACTGCCTATTTTTTCAAAGAAAATAACTCTTAAAATAACTGTTTTCGTATATAATATTCTTAATTGATACTCTTTCATTATTGATATATTGCAAGTTAAATCAAAAAGTGTGTTAATAAATCATTTAATAACTTAGCACAATAATTTATATAATTTTAATTTAACCTATTACATGTTTTGAGAATTCCAATTAAATATACCAACATAAATCTTTATAATTGCACACTTATTGAGGTAATTTCAGTAAATTACAGCCAAGTTTGTCCTTCGTTATTATACAAACATTGCCAAAAAACCTTAATTGTTTTATTGGGTAATTGTCTGCTAAATATGGTTATTAACAATACGTCGTCGCTCTATTTATTGAAGTTTCTATCTATGTATGGCAGACAAAAGATCGAGCATTAAAATATATTATGAAAAAATATAAGAGAATGCCTTCGCTTATTCATTACGTAAAGGTACCTTAAATTTAATTATTTTGCAACTGTCAGGAATAAATAAATAAAAAATATAGGCAAATGACAACATTTTTGGTTATAAAAGCTAGAATCTTGGATACCTTACCATATAAACCTATTATTTTAATATATTATTTATAGAATTAGATTAAAATAATGTATAACCAAACCTTATAAAACCTGACCCTGACATTTTAATTTTAAAAATTAGAATTCAAAGATCTTTTTCATTTTTAATAATGTTTAATCCATCAAAACTCTATCTATCTCTTAAACATTGAAGTGAGCGTTGGATTCATAAAAACAAACTTCTTTATCAAGTACGCCGCAGTCAGAAAAAATAGATATATATATATATATATATATATATATATATATATATATATATATATATATATATATATATATATACAGCGTCCTTACTATTGATAATTGTCATGAATCGATTGTGTGCATATAAGTCTCATATAAGCATGTTCTATAAACTCCCACCGGAAACGCTACACGCCCACCGTCCGTAAAATAAGGTTACAGTGACATTACAATCTTAACTTTAATTGATTGCGAGACTTCGAAAACCATATAATCATATATATATACATATATATACTCGTATATATAATTTGTATGATATACATCATAGAATCTTCACTAAGAAAAACTCTTATATTACCAAATCTTGTAACCCACCTAACTACCAATATGTGAAGTGCATTTAACAGGAATGTTGTACTTTTTCAACCTTGTAAAAGATTTAAATAGTTCTTAAATCGGTGATAGGTTTGTTTGTTGAGAAGGTTATATGCTTAGAAGTATACTTTTTCTCCCGAAACTAATCATTCCATGTTCAAACGAGAATTTGTATTTTAAGATTTTGATGGTTGGATAGGTCTGAAAAAGTCTATCACAAAACATCATATATAAATTTTGTTCAAAAAACCTTTGTTATAAAGTCTAATGTTTTCTTTGTTTCTCTTCGATTAAATACTGGTATAAATTACGTTTAATTTCACAAATAAGCTGCGGAGTACCTAAAATTTATTCATTGTACACCTGATAAGTTTTTTAAATCGCTTTATCAGTTACATTAAAGTGTCAGCACTAAAAAAGAGAATGAATCTTATATTAAACGGTAAATAAAAATTAGTGACACGTAACATCGTCAAATCTTCACATTAGTGTCATGGAAAGTGCAGGCCATGTTTGGGTTATACCGTGCGGATATTCGGACATTAAATATTTATACTTTACGTTTATTTTGTTGTTTATGAAAATAGTTTTCATTGGCTGTCTGCCTTGTTTGTCATCGTGAGTTTATTTTAAAGGTCCGACTTTCTGTTTGCACAGTTGTTTCAAACCAGGTATATAACTAAGATATTCTTTATTGAACACTAAACAACATGACCAAAAGTAACACGCAATACTAAAGATAGATTAGCATATTACGGTTGTTAAATTATTGAGTGTTATTCTAAAATACTTACCGTTTAATGTTGTTTAAATTTATGGAATACTATATTAGCTTACCTGACACCACAGCCTCCCATATATCACGAATGCATTGTAGCGGTCAATTATGCTGATATGTGTCGATTCATACAACACTTTAATATAAATCAGTGGAAAGTTTGCGGGCACGTGCCATGTCTATTTACGTAATGGATGTAACTTTTAAACTGTGTTTAAGTATTTCTATTAATAGAAGTGAACGTGGTAATCTATTTTTAATTGATAAATTAGTTTATAGAGGCATTTTCTATTTTTTCTCACGTGATCGTTAATTATTAGCGATATAAGTTTGTAAAAAAGGTCTAACTTAAATGTTTCGGTTCCCTTACTAAGACGGTGCTGCTGAGATTATGTAGTTATAAAATAATCATAAAAAACGGGTAATATCCAAAACCCTGAGTTTCATTTCATAGAGTATTCGCGACAATATTAATAAGATCTAACATCGAAGATTTTTTTTATTTATAGTTGGTTACAGACTTTTCTATAATAATAATTAAGGTTTAAAAAATATTGTATTTTTGAGTTTAAAACTCCTGAAAACTTATAATTAGTACAAAATGAATACAGGAATAAAATAATTGGCGTCCCTGAAAACAAATTTTATTATAAACATCACAATAACAAAACATGTTATATTTTCATAACTATTTCGAAGCAATTCCTTAAAAATTATAAACTTTTGTTCATCTTTTGGAATTTAGAATTATAAACGTAAGTATGGTTATATACTGTAATAACAGTAGAAATCCTTTGAATAGATTCAACACGATGTTGTCAATTTCCAATAAATAATAATAAATAAACCTGCGTACAAAAATTAGCATTATCAGATATTTTAATACCTTCTTAGGTAAGATAACTCAAAGTCAATTGAAGTCAATAATAGACTGGGAAATCTGACACGACCCGTCCTTCTTTGTATTACAAGTAGTTCAATATTATACTAGATCAAAGCGATTTTATCCGACAGTATAATAAATAATGTTGGTTACTTGTTTATAGAATTATTGGTCAATGTTATGGGTTCCCTCCAACAGTAAACATTGATTTCTGACCTTTCTCTGTATGGTGTTAAATAATTTTACAAGCAACGAAAATCTCGTTAAAGTTCATTAAGTCATTGACAAAGTAACGTATGTAGTTGGTTTTGACACTAAATGTTTATTTGTTTTTTAAAGATGTCAATTTTGTTCAACATAATCTTCTCGACCAAGAAAGACACTCAATGATTGTTATCTCATTTTAATTAACAGAAGTCGAAGTCATGTTGGTATGTTGTTTCGAATTACGGTAAGACAAAAGGCAATCAGGTTTAAACATTTAGGTTATAGGCTCTTGTGTCTGACATAGCTATCAAAATATGCACTTATGACAAGATGGATAGTGGATGGATAGTGTATTTCTACATTTATCATAAAATAGTCTAAGTTTCTTGAAAGCACTAAGTATCTTTTTCCCATCTACTCGTAAATTTCCTGCTCATAATAAGTTCCTTTCCCTAATTAAAAACATCCTACCGGATCACTATGTTTCGAAGTTATAGGTGGTAGATATCAATTGATCTAAATATCTTATTCTGTATCAAGTCTCGAGTAGATTAGATAGAACATCATGTGGTCATGCGCAAGCTGTATCAGGTGATCAATAGTCACTTAATACAATGCGCTCGAAATATATTTTTATATATAAATCATAACAGACACATAAAAGGTTTCATTAAAAACTTTATGATTAATTTTAATTTCTTAATTTATTTCTTTCATTTTTAAACATTGATCATGGATTGTAATTGTTACGTAAAATGTTAAAAAAGGTTTGTATTGCATTAATCGTCATATAAATTATCCATTATGATATTAAAATAGAATAATACCTTACGAGTAAAATGGTGACATAAAATGTAAATCTATTTTTAATTATGACACATTATTAAATTACATTCAAGCTTATTTAGATGCCCTTATCTCAATTCTTTATTTGATGAGTTTATGTATATCAAATATTTTTTATAGAAATGCGGAACCGTACTTTACATAACTCTAGATATGAGTATTTGTTATAATTAATCTTACTAACGTATAATATTGTGTAAGTAACGTAAAATATATTATTTTGCAGGACGTCGTCGCGGCACGCGGGGCTAACCGCACCGAGTAGGCGTATCACTACATCGAACGTCCGCGCTCGCGTCGCACGACTCACGAACATAACGTCAATAACAGAACTAAACTCAAGTGCAAGTGTATCAATTAACTAGAAAAAAACACAGTGCTAGTGTAACCGTTAACATTATTAAGTGCTATATAGTGCTTCCGTTCGGTGCTCTGTAGCCGAGTGAATGCGCGTCTGTTTCGACACCCTCTGCTTTGGATCGTCACAGCGAGCAGCTGGTGACGATGAGCCGAGGGCCGTAGTAAATACAGGAGGAGGAGCGCTAACTGTGGCGCCCACCGTAAACGGTGATAGACGAGCATTAGACGAAACGTATCGAGAGGAATTAAACGGTATAATGGGGACTCCTACGATGAATTTGGATTCAGAGAATTGTGTTTCTAACGCAGCGACTAGCGAAATGCAACCGCTAGTCGAGAGAATTAGAGAGTTGGAGGCGTTGTTGAAGCAACGCGATCAGGAAATGTTGGAACTGCGATCGCAATTGGACAAATTGCAGAGCGTGTTTCCCTACCAGCAATATGCAAGGGGATCAAGAGGTCCCAGGAAGCAGAGAGCCCAAGGTATCTCAGCTGAACCGCAGACCAGCTCATCTCTTCAGGACCTGGCTCACCAAACGTTCCCGATCTACGATAAGAGTGAAGCGTAAGTACCTCCAGTTATTATGTTAATGAAAAAATGTTTATTTTAAAATGGCGCATTTCTTGATATGGATATCTCAAAGAGTATGTTGTCGCGACACTTATTTAGCTCAATGTTTATCATATCATAACAAGTAATTGATATAATTAGTAATTGAATGACAAACATGGCGTTTACCAGAAGGGAACATAATTATTTCGCTCGTTAGCTTGAGACCATGAGCGGGAGGGCAATTGAATTAAATTTTCACATTCGTTTATATTATACGTCTCTTAACAATAAAATAAATCTATTATATATTTTACTTCGAGCAATTATGGTAATATGTATGTTTAATTCCGATGGTAAACTAAAAATGCCTCTGGTAACTTAAGGAATGATTGTATATATTAAAAAATATATACATGTTGGGTCTAATGGAGTCGTACCTAGTGGTTTCCCTGTATGGTTAATTTACTTTAACTTATCTTTATTGAATAAAGTATCTAAACCGTTATAAGTATTATGAACATAATAGTGTACTTGAAAACAAGAATATGTATAGGTTTTTGTTCACTGAATTTGTTCACTGATTCATAATATGGTTCTGAATGAGATTTTTTTTATTTAATAAATATATTTTGTAACCTTATTGTTTAGTAGTGGATAATCTCGTTCTCGTTGTATTCGATACAGTTTGTTATCAAACTAATCCCATACAAATTTTCTTATCTATGTGATGGTGAACTTCGAAATATGCTGTGATAGTCTTGTCGACAACTAATTTAACAACATCATACAGCATACAAATTTTATATTTATATATATTTCTTTTGAGATGATTAAAAACATCAAATTGGGTTAATCTATTTGTAATACTAATTATTGGTTTCAAAGAGAACAATTTTATTATGGCAATTTATTTTATAATATATTCATTGATATTAACTTTATTTTGACCATAAGCATTTACTTTTGTTAAAACACGTACCTACTGCTTTTCGTGGTAACTCTTAAATAATTTTGAACCGAAATAGAATCAAAATTTAATTTGCATCAAAATCAATTTTAACGGCATTGTAATATTAAAATTTTTACTATAATAACAAACTGTTCGAGTACTCATTCATGTCTTCCTTTAAGGCACTGATAAAGCATGACCTCTTGACAGAACTTGCCAAAAAAAATATATGTATGTCCTCCTAATCATCAAATATTTGCACTAAATACTTTTAGTGTTATCCATAAAGGAGTCATGGACATTAAACAAGGTTTGTTAGCGTTAATTGGATAATCGTGAACATCCAAACATTAAACTCATAAATATAATTCACACCATACTTATTGTCATTTTTGAATAAATAACATTCAACGAGGTCATGATAATTCAAACATTTAATATGTATTGAATGCTTGTCATTTATTTATCAAACGGTTATTTCAAGTCTGTTCGACCGTTATCATGTTTGTTAAATTATATTTTATATACTAAAAACGGTGGCTCTTATATGACGCTAGGATGATTGGAATGTAATATAGAATTAGCAATAACATTCTAAAGAAATGAAATCAGGAGACGTTAAGGTCTTTGACAGTATGACTCATGAAATGCAGCTGCAATAGTTTCTTCCAAGAATCATCTATAAGAGAACGCTACTGATATATTTAAACCAGCCCAAACACTATAACAACATATGATCTATCAAAAACTAGATGGTCATACTACATACACTAATAATAATGTATTTTAAAATTACATACAAAACATCCCTCAATCCGGAATAATAAACAAACAATAATTTTCCCTTTAATATTTATTTTAATATATGTACATTAATAAATATCCTTTTAATTAATATTTTAAAAATCGTTAATAACGCATAGGTATCTTCAAGGTAGAACAAAAATAGTAAAAAAATACATAGATAGAACAAAAATAGTAAAAAAAAAATAGTCCTTTAAAACATACGATTAAACTAATTCAAAAAACTAAATCTTTTTCTACCTGGCAATTTCCTAGCTGTAGCCTTAGAAAGTACATATAATTCGGAAAAATCACATTGGAACTTGCCAGGATAGAACCCACGCCCTCATGCATGAGACGCGGGCCTTTTAACCACTAGGCAACCACTGACTTAAACTGAAAAAAGTAAATATTTATCACAAATAATTTACATAACTTTAATATTTCATTAAATAATATCCATTGTAGAAACAAAACGACCTTTTTATAACACGCAGAAAATTTTACGATATTTTTGCTACAAATAAGTACTTTTTTAATCTCAATCGATACTTAAGTATTAATTTTTATTGTTTTAGTCGTAAATTATTAAGAAATAAAACGTACATAAATGAAATATTAAAAACATATAAAAGTAGCATGTGTGACTTGATATAAATAAAAATAAAATGTCCCATTAAAAAGTATTGCAAATTTTATATTCTCAATTAAAGCGCCCTTAAACCAAAAAAACGAAAACAAATTATAACTATAATTGAAACCGTTCAATTAAAAACCTTATATCATTAAATTTTTAACTAATTTCTTTCGTATTTGAAGGTTATATCCTTTCTTCTTCTGTTAACGATAGTAAATGTTTTAAAAATAAAGTACACTAGTATATCTTAATTAATTTAGTAATGAGTGAGGCACAGATGTCAGATGAATGATGCATCTTAAGTAAAAATTCAAGCTATCTTACATACCGATCTGTTACTTGTCAAGTTGATTGGGAATAAATTTAACATTATGTTCGTCGTTTATTTATGGATCTATTTACATAAGTAAATATACAGAGAATATTTATTCATTCGTATTAAAATAAGAATCAGTCAACTATGCTATGCCTCAGTAATTTTTGTGTTATTACAAATAATTGTGAGATGAATGTAATAAATCTCAAAGAACTTTTTCTGGTGATGCATTAATAAGAATATTAGACTTTAATGATTACAATTGAATTTAATGTGTATGAATAGTAATATAAATCCCATTTAGTAATATGGGATAATATATCTTTATAGAAAATTAATTGATAAAAACGTGGTGATTGATCCTTGTAGTTGGTGCTGTAAAAATTTACAATAAGTTCAGCACACGAATTACGATCAAATTGTAGTTACTATTTTTGTAAAGAGTTTTAAATAATAATTTGATTGATTAGTATTACATTCTCATCGACTAATTGTATTGCAAACGTTTAAAGAATCTTCTCACAATTCATATGTAAACGGTGATTTATTACTTTGTTTAGATTCCGTCTGTGTATAGGTTTTATTGCTTAGTTTCGCCAATTACACCATTTAAGAACTTTAAATCACTAGTTAACTATTAATTACAATTCAGGAAACGTCTGCTCTTTATTTTCCATTGTCTTAAATAGTGATAAAACGTTGAAGCGCCGTGAATTCTAAAAAGTCATTAGAATTTCAAATGTTACAAGGGATAATTTGGCAACATGTCCTCCATCTTATCTCATTGCTAAGCTAATTTTACTGTTTCTTTATTTGACAGAAATATTAATCCCCATGAAGGTAAGCTTTGAACGAATTCATACATGACTGGCAATAAGCCTAGAAGATAAATTTACGTCGTATCGTACTTGAACATTGAATCATTCCTGGCGTGACTTACTGTATATACAAAGTACGCCGACACCAGTGAACCATCTAGATAAACTCTCTTGGCATCTCATTAGCATATATCTATGTAGTAGTTTAAAATTGTCAAAACTGGTGGTTCAAGGCGCTAAGATGACCTTCCCGATTGACCTTATCGTTACAACATCTAGCCCGTATTCTATGAACGTACAACCGTGTATTTAGAACGCTTTAAAGCCCCTCCTAATAAGCCCTACATTTTTCCTTCATCTATGTTTTATTTTGTTGCCTCAATTTCTAAGGAAACATGTGTTTTTAAAGACTTAGCTACGGGTATAAATCATTTTAGTTCAGTAGACTTGGCTTGTATATTTTTAAAATAAAAGGCACAGGCAGTCATCTTATTGTATATGAATTTAGTAGTTGATTTTCTAGTTTATTTTGTCTATATCACAAATAAAATAAAGCCGCAGCCGCATAGTACATTTGAAGAATATGAATATACGTTTAAGACATGTTTCTACGTAAGGAATAGTATGGAATTTACTTTATTAAATATGTAACTTGTTCCTTTAAGTAAACATCAGTATCGAGTCTAATTATCATGATTATCTAGTTCGTAAATACCAACACGCCCAATTAAAACTTAAAAACTGGAAAGGTACTTACTCCTTATCTGAACAAGTGCCTTCGCTAACGTATTGAATATTTAACGTTTTGCATAAATATTCTTAGCACTATTAGTATATTTTCAAGTAACTACATTCAAGCTACATAGTCGCTTTAATCTGATATGCGTGACATTTTTGAAGTCTCTTTATTGGTAATGCAACTCCGATCACATCAATGAGAATTTGGTTTATTTTATAAATATTTGGTTTACGATATTTATTAAAAAACAATTTGGTTCAGAAATGTGTTGCTTTTATACATTGATGTATGATATTTAATAATTTTAACAAATAATACAAATTTCTATGCGTAATCTCTAAATTAAGTTCGAAATGGTAAATAGAGTGTATATTAAAACTATGCTAAAAAGCATGGCTTTAGCTCAAATAAGTCGATTATTTTATAAGAAGTTACTTTTTGTTTTATTTTTTATCGTTCCTAAATCATAGAGCCAATTTTGTTAAAATAAAAAAAATATGAGATGAGACAAAAAAAAATGTTTTCCTTTATAAGTAATAAGACTTCAAAGAAATAAAATAAAAATAAAAGCTGACACCCATGTAAATATTACAAAAACAACCTGTAGCTCATATGTATAATTTGGTTTCTTGAGACAATACGCACGGGCAACAAATAAATTCGGGCATTCCGAGTTGAACTACAAGTGTGGTGCAGTGTCCCAAAGATGGCAATGAGAGAAATCTCGTTATCCGTTTTGGCCTTTGCCATATTCAAGCGAGCTTCAATTTTTAC